AAATTAAAAGCAGAAATCAAATAAAGAGAAATAGACAAACAATACAAAATCAACAAAGTAAAAGTAGGTTCTTGGCCAAGATTTAAAAAATGTCTAAACCTCTAGCAAGACTGATCAGGAAAAAAAAATAGAAACCACAAATTACCAATATAAATAATGAAAATGAAAACATAACTACAAATCTTTCAGTAGTATGAGGATAATAAGAAAATAGTATGAACATCATAGTAACTTTGACTTCTTAAATGAAATGGAGAAATTCTTAAAATATTTACCCCCTAAAAATGAAAACACTAATTTGAAAAGATACATGCACCCTTGTGTTTACTGCAGCATTATTTACAATAGCCAAGATATAGAAGCAACCCAAATGTCCATCGATGGACAAATGGATAAAGATGTGGTGTATAAATAATGGAATATTACCCAATCGTTAAAAAAAGAATGAAATACTGCCATTCTCAACAACACAGATGGACCTCTAGGTTATAATGCTAAGTGAAACAAGTCACAGAGACTAAAACTATCTGATTTCACTTATATGTAGAATCTAGAAACAAATGAACAAACAGAAACTGATTCAAATACACAGAACAAACTGGTAGTTGCCAGAGGAAAGATGAATGGGGATGATGGGCACAACAGAGAAGGGGATGAAGAGGCACAAACTTCCAGTTATAAAATAAATAAGTCAAAAGGATGAGAAATACAGTGTAGGGAATATAGTTAATAATCCCATAATAACATTGTATGGTGCCAGATGGTAAGCACACTTACAGTGGTAAGCAACTGTGTAATGTATAGAATTGTCTAATCACTATGTAACACTATGTCAACTAAACTTCAATTAAAATTTTTTTTTTAAAGAAATAGCATTCTTATACAAACTCTTCCAGAAAAGACAGAAAATGGGAATCACTCCCCCATTATTGTATGGAGTCAGCATAACTGTGATACCAAATTTAGACAAAGACATACAAGGAAAATACACGAATATATATGACTCTAGACATAAAAATCCTTAACAAAATAACAACAACTGGAATCCTACAATATATAAAAGGCATAATACTTCCCGTACAAATAAGATTTGTTTATCTTAGGAAAGCAAAACAGGTTTAACATAAGAAATACCAATGTAATTCAGTACATATAGATTAAAGGAGGAAAATTAATACTACAGACTTCAATAAATGTGGGGAAAAAAAAAAAAAAACAACTAGCAAAGTTCAATACTCACTCATGATAGATACTCTTAGCTGACTAGGAATAGGAATAATATCCCCAACCTGAAAGATGGCATCTAAAAAAAAAAACATGCAGCTAATAATAAACTTAATGGTAAAATACTGAAAGTTATCTCTCTAAAATCAAGAAAAACACAAGGATATTTCCTCTCACCACTTCAACTGAACACTAATAGAAGTACATTACTAGAGCAGTAAGGCAAGAAAAAGAAATATAAAGCATATGAATTACAGAAAGAATTCAAGCTCTCTTTAGTTGCCAAGTAACATAACTGTGTTGGTAGAGAACTCTAAGGAATCTACAAAGACAGCTCTGAGACAACTAGCAAGTAAATTTAGCAAGATTGTGGGATACAAGATCAGTATATAAAAATAAAGTATACGGGGCGCCTGGGTGGCTCAGTGGGTTAAGGCCTCTGCCTCCGGCTCAGGTCAGGATCCCGGGGTGCTGGGATGGAGCCCCGCATCGGGCTCTCTGCTCGGCAGGGAGCCTGCTTCCCCTCCTCTCTCTCTGCCTGCCTCTCTGTCTAATTGTGATCTCTGTCAAATAAATAAAATCTTAAAAAAATAAAAAAAAAAAAAAGTATACTTCTGGGATGCCTGGATGGCTCAGCTGGTTAAGTGGCTGACTTGATTTTTTGGCTCAGGTCATGATCTTATGATCATGGGATCAAGCCCCACAATGGGACAGGCTCCACACTCAGCAGGGAGTCTGCTTGAGATTCTCCCTCTCCTCCTGGCTCCTCTTTGCCCTGCATGCTCTATCTCTCAAATAAATAAAATAAAAATAAACTATAGCTCTATATGCTGTCAATCAATAATTAGAAAATAAAATTTAAAAAAATAACCATTTACAATAGAACCAAAAACACCAAAAAACTAGAAATAAATACAATGTGTAGTACTACACTGGAAGTTCCAAAATATTTCTGAATGAAATTAAAGATAATTTATGTAATGGAGAGACAATATATTCATGGATTAGAAGACACAGTATTGTTAAATGTCCAATCTGCCAAATGGTCAATACAGTCATAATTAAAATTCAAGCAGGATTTCTTTAAATGGAAATTTAGGAGCTGATTCTAAATTTCTATGGACAGCAAACAAACCAAAATAACCAGAATAAACTTGAGAAGAGGATAAAATTAGAGAACTTAACATCACATTGACTTTGAAATAGACTATAAAACTATAGTAATCAAGACAGAGATATTAGTAAAAGGACAAATATACCAAACAAAATAGAATCTAGAAAGAGATTCCCCCACTGCCAAGACGTTGACAAAACAACACAAAGAAGAAAATCTTTGCAATAAGGAACAGCTGGATATCCACTTTGCACGGGGCGGTGGGGGGGGGGGGGACTTCCCCCGTCACACCATATACAAAAGGGTCACAGGTTAAGGGATGCCTGGGTGGCTCAGTCGATTAAGTGTCTGCCTTCAGCTCAGGTCATGATCTCAGGGTCCTGGGATCAAGTCCCACATTGGGCTCACTGCTCAGCAGGGAGCCTGCTTCTCCCTCTGCCCCTCTCCCTGCTAATGCTTGCTCTCTCTTTCTCACTCTTTGTCTCTCAAATAAATAAACCTTACCAAAAAAGTCAGAGGTCTAAAGGTAAAAGCTAATAGAGAAAAGCTAATAGAAAAAGCTAATAGAGAAAAACATTTTCATGACGTTCTTAAAAATACAGAAAGCACTAATCAAAAAACAAACATGTGATAAATAGTATTTCACCAAAACGAAAATCTTCTGCTTATGCACTACAGTGGTGCAAAAACACCCCTAAGAAAATGAGCTGGCAAGCCACAGATTAGGAGAAAATATATTCAAGGTATACCATACACAAGATCAAGAATGTACTTAATTTTTTAAAAAGACACTTCAGAAAAGATAATTATACAAATGACTAATAACATTTAAGAGTGCTTAAGATCAGGGACGCCTGAGTGGCTCAGTTGGTTAAGCGGCTGCCTTCGGCTCAGGTCATGATCCCGGCGTCCTGGGATCGAGTCCCACCCACATCGGGCTCCTTGCTCGGCGGGAAGCCTGCCTCTCCCTCTCCCTCTGCCTGCCACTGTCTGCCTGTGCTCACTCTCTCTGACCAAAAAAAAAAAAAAAAAAAAAAAGAGTGCTTAAGATCATTAATCAGAGAAATACAAAATACAACCACTTGAGAGATCACTATAAATACAGAATTGTGCAGTGATTCTCAACTGGATGGAGAGTTGGCAATTTTGACCCCCAGCAGACATTTTTAGTTGTTACAGGCATCTAGAATGTTGCTAAGCATCCTATAAGGCACGGGACAGCCCCACAAAACAAAGAATTATCCTGTCCAAAATGTCATCAATGGTGGCAAAATTGAGAAACCCCCAATAGATGAAAGAGACAAATAGCATCAAATATCGGTGAAGATCTAGAGCAAATGGAACTCTCTCATACATTACAGAAAGGTATGCAAAATGACTGATTCATTTGGTGTTTGGCAGATTCTACCATATTAGGTGTAAATGGCTTCTCCTTGCCAAATTAAAGGTCGACATGGCCTAAATGGCCTGGATGATCTAGACCCAGTCTACTTCTCCAGCCTTATCTCTCAGTTTAAACTAGGCACAAGGATGATTCAGTATTAGGAAAAAGTTTTCAATCAAGTCTACTTGACTTTACTCAGAGAAATCCTAAAAATTCTGAAACAAAAGAAATCTTAAAGATTTCTAAAGAAGGCTTTATTAACACATTCCTGACAGTAAAACATCTACATCTCTCATAACAAACACTAACAGTTTTGGCAAAATCTCAGATCTATTTGACAAAAACTATAGAAACAACTAATGCTATACAAGTAATAGTCCTCTACCCCTTTTGTAAACTGGGTTAATTGGAAACTATTATAGAATTACTGATATTGACTTAAGACACGTTGCAATACAGGTTGAAAAAAAATTAAAGTAACAGTCCAGAAAGATACTATATAAATATCACAACTTGTTTCACCAAAGAATGGAATCAGAAGAAAAAGTGTATAAATGGCCTAAACTGGCACCATTTAATAAAAACATAACAAAAAGTACAAATATAAGCCACAAATGCTTTGTTAAAAGAGTAAAACGCAGATTAAATCCATTTTGATAATGTAATTATACCATATGGAAATATATGTACATATATTATGTACCAAATATGCAAAATAAAATAAAATAAACCCAAAATATTATCACCTCAACATGTAATCAACATAAAGTTTAAATTATTTTATATTTTCTTTTTGTACTAAGTTTTCAAATGTTATTTTACATTTATTAGAAATTTCATTTTGGACTAGCCACATTTCATGTGTTCAATAGACACATGTAGCTAGCGGTAACTAGATAACTAACACTACTTATTACATGACATACGTCTAAGCATTTTACTTGGACTTTGCCATTTCATTCTCTCTGAGGCACATACATGGGAAAGTAACTTGCCCCAAGTTCCCACAATTAGTGGTAGAGTCTGGATTCTAACTCAACCAGCATGACTAAGATCTCCTGCTCCAAACCACCATGTTTTCCCACCTCAAATTTAAAAATAAAAAATAAAATTAGTTTTTACAATGTTACTGAAACTTTCAATTAACCACATTAATACCGTAATTCCTGCTTTGATATTCCCATTCATTTTATAGAAACCTAAATCTCTGGTCACATTAAAAACAACAACAACAAACTGTTTTCTCCCCATGACTTAAATCTGCAAGAAAACACTTACCATTAATATGAGTTTTTGATACTTTTGTTTTAGGTCTGACACACTGGCAGATGGGTCTGCCCCCAGAATGCTGTACCAATCCTTTTTTGGGATCTGCTCAAATGCCATCATCCACTGAACAAGAAGTGGGCCTTCTCAAATCAGCTGAATAAAAATATTGACAATTCATTACAGTTTGCAGGATTGGAGAAATAAGCAAGTACTTTCTTAAGTTATTTAATAGCTGACTAAATCAGGGTTAAAAGGCAAACTTGATGAAGCATATATCTCATTTTTAAAGCCCCAAGAATTTCATGTTTAAGTATACAGACAACTATGGGAAATCTGTTACACGTTTCATGATATACGCTTATACCTTAAATTAATAAATTACAATAGTATTAAGAAATTAGAATTCGAAAATGAACGAAAGCGGTGGATGACCTCAGAGTATTTCTGCTAATCGCGCGGTAAAAGCCGCATATAATAAATGTTAAACACAATAAAAGGAATTTAATAAATGTTTAAAAACTTAAAAAAAAGTTAAAAGCAAAACAAAACAGCAAAGAATTAAAATGAATGTGGGAGCATTCCTCTTAATGTTTCCAGCTCACATTTCTTCCAGATTACCTTAAAAGAATACTATGGGAACAGCTCGGGCCGGTAGACAGCACGAATCCCTCGGTTACTGGCGCTTACAAAGAAAGAGAACCTGAAACTGCTCACAGAAGGATACTCCAGCCCTCTAGATTACAGAGGAGACCTCGCCAGGAGCCCCCAAAATCAAGCAACATCTTCCCACAGCTGTGAACTTCAAGAGACCAGGGGTGGGGTGGGGGCTCAAAACTGAGACCTGGGAATCCACTGTATTCATTTCGGCTGTACCGCCCAGCCCCAGGATGCTACCCTCTCATGGCTTTACTCGAATTCAAACTTATCAAACTTACCAAACTTTCAGAGAGTCCTTATCACATACTTCTCGCCTGCCGTCGGCCAAAACCCGGAACCGGCTTCTTCTTCCGCCGGAAGTTATGGATCTGATGTGAAGGCGTTTCTAGTCGAGCCCTTGTGACCGAGGCACCGAACGCAAGGGACGCTCCGCCCTCCTGGACGCGGTCGCTATGGTAACCAGTCTTCGCTTCCAAGGAGTACCAAGCAGTAAGTGCCCGAGCTGTGGAAAAAGGTGTCCTTCGCTTCATTCTAACTCTCTCTAGTCCCAGCTCCGAGACTGTGACGTCTCTTCTCTCAGCGAGCACCAACCCTCTCCCATGCTCCCAGGGCTCCCTCAGCTTTCCCCAAAGCTTCCTCCGCTTACCCTACCCTGCTCCCAAACCTTTCGCGGTCGGTGACCGTTCTCTGACAGGAGAGGGGGATGGGAGAAGTGGTGGGGTAGGCGCCTGTGAAGCAGGAGGAGATCTAATTCTTCCGTGGTCGGTGACCGTTCTCTGACAGGAGAGGGGGATGGGAGAAGTGGTGGGGTAGGCGCCTGTGAAGCCGGAGGAGATCTAATTCTTCCGTGGTCGCTATACTTCCCTTAGAACGCTCTTATTCGAAAATTAAGAGAAAACCTATACCGATTGAAGGTGTTTTTTTTTTTTTCCCCCAGTTTTAATATTTTTTTTTTCTGGAGAAGATGTTCACCTTAATTATTTCTTGTAGATGATCTTAGCAAGCTATAACTTTTCAGTCTTTTCATACGTACTGTCTTGCTTCCCTTTCACTTCAACCCAGTGAAGCTAGTAAGGCGCGTGTTAATATTCTCATTTGGCTGATGAGGAAACAAACTAAGGATCAAGGCCCCAAAGCTAATTGTATAGCAGCAGAACAGGACTCTTAGTAAGTGTGCCTATGACCAGGGACGCCAGGCTATCCTTCAAGCTTAGGAAAAGGAAAAATATCACTGCCTCAGAGGAGTTGCTGGGCCCTGCAAATGGGCACTGGTAGGTTTTTTGTTAGATTTTTCTTTGTTGTTGTTTTTTTTTTTTCCTTCTCGCCTCTCCCTTTCCTTCTGTTCCCTTTTATTATCTCTTCTCTGTACTAACTGCCTTACATTGACCTCTCTTCCTTGCACTGTTTCCAGAGGTGTTACTGCATTTGTATTTTGGTAGCGTGATTTAAATTTCACTTGTAGATGTTCAGAGAGTTCTGTTATTACTGCTCAAATTTGCTTTCCTTCCTTTTTTTCTCTCTCTTCTACGGAATCTCAGTTTGAGAAGCAGTCAAGATAAACCTAAGTACATAAAACAAAATATGTTATTATGGTCAGTTAGTTAAGGATGGTATGAAGAGTAACTGAATGGCGTAAGAAGATCTAAAGCAAGGGGCGCCTGGGTGGCTCAGTGGGTTAAGCCTCTGCCTTCGGCTCAGGTCATGATCTCAGGGTCCTGGGATCGAGTCCCGCATCGGGCTCTCTGCTCCGCAGAGAACCCGCTTCCTCCTCTATCTCTCTCTCTGCCTGCTTGTGATCTCTCTCTGTGAAATAAATAAACTTTAAAAAAAAAAAAAAAAAAGAAGATCTAAAGCAAAAAGTATCATTTGGGTTCTCCATAGAATTTTCTCATGTTTAAAATTGGGCACGAAGAGCCTTATGCTAAGTCAGAGGATCTGATTTTAGTCCTGGTTTCAACATACCTTCGTACCTTCTGTGTGGCCCTATGGGGATGTGTTAAATGACAGAATTGAGTGTTGTTCTGAATACCTTCCTGTACCGAATGACACCCCCCTGAACTTTTTACCCTCAAATACCGCCCCCTTCCACGGCTTACTCCTTCCTCATAGATAGTTATGCTCAGATCCTCCAGTTTTTACAGCAAGAGCATAGTACTTTGATTTATGATTCCTTAGGGTATTGTGTTTCCTCTTTTATTCCCTATTTTTAGTCGAATTCTGGAAAGTCTGATCTCAATTTTCTCAATTCATTTTTTTCATATTTGTGTGTGTGTGTGTGTGCCGTGTATATGTATGTATTTATTTAGATGTGGATAGTAAGAGGTACACCTTTTTCTCCCCCAGCAGTTACCAAGTGTTCAGTCATTTCATCTAGACATACTTTAGCTCTTATCAATAAAGCATACTTTAGTTTGCAACTTTTTCTTTCATCTCCATAATGTCATTATTCTGCTGAAACGATCAATAATTCATTGACAATACCTAGTCTCTATTTACATTTGCTTAATTGTCTCAGAAATGTCTTTTTATGATTGGTTTGCTTGAATCATGATCCAAATATAGGCTACACAGCACATTTTCTTTTTTTAAGATTTCATTTATTTGACAGAGAGAGATCACAAGTAGGCAGAGAGGCAGGCAGAGAGAGAGAAGGGGAAGCAGGCTCCCCGCTGAGCAGAGAGCCCAGTGTGGGGCTCGATCCCAGGACCCTGAGATCATGACCTGAGCCGAAGGCAGAGGCTAAACCCACTGAGCCACCCAGGCGCCCCTACACAGCACATTTGATTGTTCTCTTTAGTATCTTTTAAGCTCTAGCAATCCCACTTCACTGTTATCTTGGTTTTGTTTTTTCTTCTCCTGCCATAGGCTTATTGAAAAACCAGATCAGTGGTCTTACAGTCTGATTTTATTCATACCAGAAGAAACTTCTTAAAATACTTTTTACATGAATCTCTGATCATTTGTCTTCATTTTTCATTTTCTAGAGCATTATTGCCCAATAGAAATATGGTGTAAGCTACAAATATGAACCACATGTATGATTTTAAATTTCCCAGTAGCCACATTAGGAAAGTAAAAGAAACAGGTGAAACGAATTTTAATAATATATTTTATTTAACCCAAATATATCAGAGTATGATTATTTCCAAATATAGTCAATGTAGAAATTATTAATGAGATATCTTACAGTTTTTTCATACTAAATCTTTAAAGATTTAGTATATTTCACCTATGTACTTTACCTATTCAGCTCATTCAGTTTGGACTTGCCATATCTTAAGTGCTCCATAGCCACATCTAACTAGCGACTGCTGTATCAAACAGGCCATGTCTAAAGGATAATGTCTTGAGGTGCCTGGCTGGCTCAATCAGTAAAGCATCTTGCTCTTGATCTCAGGGTCATGAGTCCAAGCCCCACATTAGGTGTAAATCTTACTTCAAAAAGTAGGTAGATAAATAAAGTAGAGGATAAAATCCTAACTCTTTAACCTGGCATTCACTTACCTCCCAAATTTCTTAGTTTTCCAGCCTCATCGCCTATTACCTCCGTACATAAAACCTTTAAACAATGGGATTTTTTTCTTGGTACTTATAATTTTGATCAGGTGGTTCTCCTGGCTTATACCACTTTTGCTCTTTGCTTCCACCTATCAATTTTATCCCTCTTTCAGACCCATCTCTTCCATCAAGCCTTTTATGCTGACTCAGTCCTTAGAAATTAGTTCCTCCTCTCAAGATTCATAGCCAGTCCTGTATGTCCTCCTCATCTGTACCCATCCTATCCCACAGGATACTATGATACATTTTGGACATTAGTTCTGATTCCCTAATTCCATAAGTTCTGTGAGGGCAGGGACACCTCTCAGAGAAACTAAGCGCCAGCTGCTGTGCAATATCTCTGAAGTTCTAATGATGTGTATCTATGATAGATATGTTTCTCACTATCTTATTTTAAGAAGGCAATTTATCCATTTTATATAAAACTAACAGCAGAAATAGAAACTATGTTAGCATAATGGTTAAGAGCATGAAGTCTAGGGTGCCTGGGTGGCTCAGTCAGTTAAGCATCTGGCTCTTGATCTCACCTCAGGTCTTGATCTCAGGGCTGTGAGTTTGGGCCCTATTATCAGCACTGGTGTGGAGCCTACTTTAAAAAAAAAAAAAAAGAAAGAAAAAAAAGAGCATGAAGTCTAGAGTCAGACTCTGTCTCTTACTGGTTATGTGAACATTTTAAGTTAACTTATCTCTGTGCCTTGGTTTCTTTCTCTGTAAAAAAGGAATAGCAATAGTATCTCCCTCTAGGTTTGTTGTGAGGATTCAATAAGATAATAATGCTAAAAGTAGTAAATACTTAGGAAAGGTTAGCTTTTATTATTATTATAATTAAAAGTGAAAAATTTGTTGCTGAGTTTTGAGTAGGAGAACATTAAGAATTCATAGCTTTATTTTAGGAATTTCCAAACAGAGCAAATGAAAGCTACAAACTATTGAGTTGGAAAAATGATCCCCAAACCCAAATGTTGTTAAACTATATAGTTTGTGGATAAATTAAAAGCATGGACAAAAACATCTTTTTTTTTTTTTTGAAGATTTTATTTATTGATTTGACAAAGATCACAAGTAGGCAGAGAGAGAGGAGGAAACAGGCTGCTTGTGGAGCAGAGAGCCCGATGCGGGGCTCGATCCCAGGACCCTGGGATCATGACCTGAGCTGAAGGCAGAGGCTTTAACCCACTGAGCTACCCAGGTTCCCCTGGACAAAAACATCTTTACTCCCATGTCATGAATATTTAACATAAACAAGATAGGCATACATTAAATATTTAATTTCAAGATGACTGACCAAAAGTAATCAAGGTGATTGATCAAGTAGAGTTAAATGTAGATATTGATACAGATATAAGTATGGTTATTATAGTATAGATATAGCAGGGATTTAAGACCCTTAGTTGTAGTGATGGCAAAAATCAATCTGTACTCAATTTATCACTTTAGTACTTGTCTGCCCATTAACTGATGTGTACCACACATTAATAAATTCTTAATTTGAGATCTTACCAGTAAATTGTGCTTCTTATTGATGGATAATATTTATAATACATACAGTGTAGTTCTGCTATTTTTATACTATTATTATATTTATATTTACTTGGCTCTTTCTATTGGTTTCATTACCAACTGTTCTTTAATTTTCTCTGAGTTTTTAGGATTTTCACGTCAGTGAACTAAGTTGTATCTATCTTTAGGTACCATAAAATATTATGGTTATGTTCTGAACTTAGATGCTTGCTCCTACAGCAACTTAAAATCTACTCAGAGGATATGAAAACCATCAAGAATTAGCTACTGGTGAGATAAAGGCACACACACATATATGCACAGAGTACAGATAGAGCCTTCACTCACTTACTCATTCAATCAACAAACCACTTCTTCTGTGTCTACTATGTGTCCTATGCTTTGTTACAAGAGACGCAAGAGAGTTGGCTGTAGCCCTTGTAAAAGCTTAGAGTTTAAGAAGCAACTGAAGTAACTGTAGGAAGTGCTGTGCCAGAGGAAATGCAGGTGCTGTGACAGTTACTAATTTATAGTTATGTGAATAGAGTAAGACGGATTTCCTCAAAGTCTGAAATCCTTGACTCAAATAAGACTAATCCAGAGAGATGCATGGAAGTATTAAGTTTTAAATATTGAAGTATTAGGTTTTAATGGAAGGGAGAAATGAATGGTTAGAATTAGAAAAACATCTTTTTTTCTTTTTTGACGTGTTGTCATAAAGCTTTAGATGGTGTTGAGAATCAGCCCTATTGAACAATCCCACCACATCTTTTAGAAATAGTTTTTCAGGGGCACCTGGACAGCTCAGTGGGTTAAGTGTCTGCCTTTGGCTCAGGTCATGATCCCAGGGCCCTGGGAAAGAGCCCTGCATCCAGTGGGGAATCTGTTTTTGCCCCTCCCCACCGCTCCTGCTCTCTGTCTCAAATAAATAAGTGAAATCTTAAAAAAAAAAAAAAAATAGAGATGTTTTTTCATTTTTGTGTTTTGCCCCTTACTCATTGTCTTCACTTGATCTCTTCTCTCTTTTTTCTTTTCAGTGGTAATCATCAGTGAAAATTCGTGAATGTGAGCAAGGCAGTGCACTAAGCAGGAGAGACAAAGAGGTAAGTACTTTTGCTGACACCAAGCCTATTGCTGTGTTTTTCTTGTTTTTTGACTTCAGTTGTGTCATTGTTCTTTCAACCTCCAATCTTGTTTCAGACCCTTTAGAGGTTTTTATCTTACCTGGAATTTTTGTTCTTGTCTTACTACATTTTTACGTTTGATGTTTTCATCTTCCCATGAACCTATTAAAGATACCGTCTATAATCCATTTTCTGTTTCTCTTTTGTAATCATAATAAATACCAAACTTATTTCCCTCATTCATTTCTTTTTTAAAAAACTTTTTAAATTTTATTTCATTTACTGGTTTGACGGAGAGAGGCCACGAACAAAGCTTCGTAGGGGTAGAGGGAGAAGCAGACTCCCCACTAAGCAGGAAGCCCATCCTGGGGTGTGATCCCAGGACGCCAGTACCATGACCTGAACCTCCCAGGATCCTGAGATCATGTCCTCATCCGAAACCCGATGCTTAACCTACTGAGCCACCTGGGCACTCCTTCCCCCATTCACTTCTTTACCCCTTTCTCTTTCTTTTTATGATCATTCTGGTTTTTCTATGAGCTTTCCAATTACCTTGAAATTTTAAACCTTGTGATGATCTGTTTCAACCATGTCATAATGTACATTTATATCCTTGTTTTAAAGCATTTTTCCTTCTCCGTTTTAGTTTTTTTAAACTGAATTTTTTAAAGTTTATTTTAGTCATGTAATTGACTCACAGTAGAAGGTTAATCTGAATGATCAAGGGGTGTTAATTTGTAGGTTAAAATGTGTTAAACAGTTGATATGAAGTCTGTTTAAGTCAATTAGAGAGTATAATGAAGATGTTTCCAGAGTGTTATGGAACCTTTTGAAGTTAGCTTGGAATTAACTCTAATATTCAACCATGGCACCCATCTGAACATGCCATTGCATTTAGGTTTTTAAATTTGTGTATATTCCAATAGATATGAATAGACCTACCTATTTTTTAAAAGCTTGACTTTATTACTAAGATTCTTTTGTTTTTGTTGTAGGAAAGAAATTCATGATTCTGTTCATCATTAGCATAATGAAAAACATGGTCACTCTCATATTTTTTTCAAAAATAAAATGCAACTGGACTGTATACCCAACAAAACACTACTAGGTTTTTTGTTCATGTACCTCTTTGTTTGTTAAACTAGATTAGTGTTATTATTATAGATTTTTAATTTTATTTATTTTTTAAAGATTTTATTTATTTATTTGCCAGAGAGAGAGAGAGTGAGACAGAGTACAGCAGGGGAAGCAGAGGCAGAGGGAGAAGCAGGCTCCCTGCTGAGCAAGGAGCCTGATAGAGGACCCGATCCCAAGACTCTGGGATCACGATCTGAGCTGAAGGCAGATGTTTAACTGAATGAAAAACCCCAATGTCCCTACAGTTTTGTGGTTTTTTTTTTTTAAATACTAGGTATCTCATATAGAAAGTTAGCAGAGATAAAGACATAAAATTTGATGTCATTAAAAGAAATGATTTGTTCCCCTCTAAAATTATTTGATGTAATATTATGAAACATTTTAATACTGGTTAATATCTTCAAAATTTCAAATTAGTTTATGTTATGCAGAGTTTCATAATATTATGGTCAATTTTAATAGTTGAATGTAATTTTCACATAATGATAGCATTAGGATGAATGAAACATTGCAACTTCAACAGTTCAAAATCCATGGAGATATGAGGGTAAAAATCAAATTTTGAAATATATGCTTTACTTAGCATTAGAGTTACTATAGTACTATTTTTTTACTTGTGTCAGTTTACTAGTAATAAACACATTTAGCATTTCAGCTTCTTCTTGCAACCTTTCAGTTGAATTATTTAGAGACTGATGAAAAACAAATCTTATATGCTAAAGGGACTTCTGCAATGACAGATTAGATGCCAAAATAATGAAACCACATGGCTTAAAAAATATACTGAAGATAGATGTTTTTTCTGATGAATTTCTAGAAAATATCATATTTTTAAAATATTTGAAGCAATTCATAGTAATACTTGTTAATCTACTGTAGAAGCACCATGAGTATAGTCTTTTGTAGTTCATTAGCAATTTCTTTAATGAGTTTTTTTGTGTGATAGATAAAGTAACAGACAAATGACAGATTGTTTGCCTTTAATGATTTCCCTGTTTCAAGCCCATTACAAAGCAATTAGAAATCTGACAGCATTTTCACTCTGCATTACTGATCATCTAAAGTGATGAGGAATGAGAGGTGATGAATATTAATTGTATATTTTCATATGATTATCATAAATTATTACCTTGTCTGATGTGCTGCAGGTGAAGCAGGAGCATTAGAGAAAGACAGTCAGATATATTAATTTGAAAGACTATATGATTTTTGTCTTTGTGGTATAAATCCTGATCTGTAGTATTACTCTCTGAATATTAATTGTTAGTTTTTAGTTTGATTTGGAGTAATGTAAATCACTTTTCCTATTTCAGTACAAGAAAAGGAAAAATTATTCCATAGTACAATGTACATACATCATTTAAATTCAGCATTTTAAAAATCTAATTTAAAAAATGAGATGGTGGGGATGCTTGGCTGGTTCAGTTGGTAGAGAATGTGACTCTTGATCTCAGGATTGTGAGTTTGAACCCCATGTTAGGTGTAGAGATTACTTAAAAATAAAACCTTTAGGGGCACCTGGGTGGCTCTGGGTTAAAGCCTCTGTCTTTGGCTCGGGTCGTGATCCCAGGGTCCTGGGATCGAGCCCCACATCGGGCTCTCTGCTCAGCAGGGAGCCTGCTTCCCTTCTTCTCTCTCTGCCTGCCTCTCTGCCTACCTGTGATCTCTGTCAAATAAATAAATAAAATCTTAAAAAAAAAAAAACTTTAAAAAAATGAGATAGTGAATTTGTTGATATGCATACATACAATATTTAGATATATCAGTACAATGAAAGATATACTTAGAAAAAGATCTTTTGTAGTCCTAGGTTAAAGTCAGGTAATCCGGCAAAAGAAGTAAGATAAAAAAGTATAACAAGATGTAACAGAAGATTTTTCTACGTCCTCTATAACAATTCTTTTGGCCCCAGTTCATGGTAAATGCTATTTACCATGTGTCTTGGTAAATGCTATTTACCAAAAGTGTCTTGCTTTAGCTGTTGTTAGGACTCACGTGCTCTTACTTGGTTCCCAGCCTTGGAGTTTTGGAGCAAAGATTGATCCAGAAACTAGATAATAATATTTAGTACAAGGAGAATTGACAAGCTTATACCATTTGAAATGATTAGAAATATATTTGGATTAATTTTACCAAAGCAAATTAATTTATATTTTGATATCCCACTAATCATAGATTTTAGTGGTTATTAGTACATAATGAATGGCGTTGAATTTCATTTCACTAATGATACTGTGTCTTGCTTTAGTCCTGTCTTTTTTACCTTTCTGGTGTGGTTTGCTGCATGGCATACATCTTTCAGAGAGGCATGCCTTCCTGGATCCATCTTTATTTATGAAGCTCATAATTTATATGATAATATGATTATAAATCAAAAATGAATTTGTTTATGTGTCTTAGGAATCATTCTCCTTATTTTATATTTGATTATATATACTTATATAGTGTATGTGTATATATAATATGTGTGTATATATATGTGTGTGTGTGTGTGTGTATAATACACATATGTGTGTGTATATATGCATATACACACACATATATACACATACATACACATATATGTGTATTTTCCCATTTTATATCTATCAAGTAAAAGTGCCAGGCCTTCACAAATGAATTTTTTGTTTCTGGAAACTTGGGGAGAGCCATCTGAAATTCATTACATATTTACTCAGTGAAAATTCAGATAGCATAATGATAAAAGCCAATTATCAGTAAAAAAGGTTGAGATCCTTACATTTAGTAGCCCAATTTCATAATATTTTTACTGGCTAAGCTTTCCAAATGGGTTATTCTTTATATCTAATGACCTCCCAGTCTTTTTTTTTTTTTTTTTAAACAGGGACTTCCTTTATCTGTAAGGCAGATCTAACTAGCACACTTTATAGAATCAGAATGATGATTCCCAATGCCCTCAACTCCTTTCTGCTCATATTCCATATCTTAGTGTTAGTCTAGACCTCAAGTTGATTCTTTCTACAGCACAGCCAATTCTCCTTTTCCTTTCCACTTTTTCCCCCTTTCTTTCTAACATACCACCAACCAACATAGCTATTTGACTTTGGGTCAAAGTCTCTACTTCTAATTGGTTTAGAACTCTTACGTATTTTTCCTATGATACCTGAGTTCATAGGAACCTGGGCTGTCCAACTGTGACACTCTTAGCAAATCAATAGCTGAGGAAAGACACAGTCCTAAATTATAAATTATAAATACCACATCTTCTCTGATAACAGTCTCTGGAACACATTCTACCTTTTCTGAAATCTCTTTCTCAGTGCAAGATGTAGAACTAAATACAAAAATGAGATCTAGGGGTCCCTGGGTGGCTCAGTGGGTTTGGCCTCTGCCTTTAGCTCAGGTCACAGTCTCAGGGTCCTGGGATCAAGCCCTGCATTGGGCTGTCTGCTCGGTGGAGAACCTGCTTCCCCCCATCTCTCTCTGCCTTCCTCTCTGCCTACTTGTGATCTCTCTCTCTGTCAAATAAATAAATAAAATCTTTTTCAAAAATAAGGCCTAGTGTTTATATTAACAAACACTTTCACACATTACATATTTACTTATTTGATCTATATAACAATTCATAAGGTGGGTAAGGCAGATGCTATTGTCATACACATAAGGAAATAAGACTGAGGAGGAAGAGAGGTGAGATTCATACTCAAGTTAGCTGAGTCCACATCTTACGCATTTTCTGTCATACTGCCTTAGCTCCCATATGTAAAAGCCCTTCTACTAATGACTAAAACTATACAGGTAGAAGAACTTTTGAGTTTCCCTGTGCTATCATTCTTCCTTGTCCTTTCTTAGGGAAAATAAGCCCAAGAAAGTTTAGGATAAACCCCAGGTCTGGCCCAAACTAAGATCACAACTCTAGAATTTCTTGGGTTAGTTCCAGAGATCTTTGCATTGCAGACACTGCCTTCATGTTTTCTAAATCTACATGATTATTTTCTTTATTTTTTCTTCAGCTATTAAATTATTGATTATAGTCCTGGCTTGGTAAATAGAAGTATTCCCCTCTGTTTTTAGTATTTGTTAATAATAAAATGAAGTCTGTTTTATCTGGCAAAATTTTTCATAAGGTAGAAACATTCTGGAATGTCGTAAGGTGAGAGTGGAAGAGAGGGACATGACTGCTTTGTGTTGGGAGAGTGGAAGAGAGCAATGTTGGAGTTGTTACTTGCCTCCATTTCCTCCTTCTTCTTCTTTTTTTTTTAAGATTTATTTATTTTAGAGAGTGGGGAGGGACAGAGGGAGAGGGAGAAAATCCTCAAGCAGACTCCCCGCTGAGCTTGAAGTAGAGCTCAATCCCAAGACCCTAAGACCATGCCCCAGACCGAAATCAAGAATCCCTCAACCAGCTGAGCCACCATGCACCCCACCCCATTTTCTTCTGATTACCCTGCACAGATAATGTCTAAGGGAAACTCTTTCTTCTCTAAATTGGGATCATCTCTGATTGATTGTTTATATGGTATTTAGGGTTAGAAAAATAGTTAAGGTCAAACAGACAATTCAGGGACCACATTTTTTTCTTTCTAAGGTATATAAATTTGAATAGTAACAGAAGCTGAGAAAACAGGGGTGGTTAATTACATAATGAGGAACAATGAGTCTCCTGGTACAATAGATAGCTTAGTTCAACATAGCAACTGGCTCTTGTTTGATTCTGTAAGAGATCAGATTTTTTATTTCCTTTTTCAACTGGTATGTCTTTCCACCTTAGTTACACTTCTGACCCACGTGTGTAATTAGTTGGTTGGTCATATGACACAGAGACTTCTCTCCTTGAAAACTGAGTTCATTTCTTGACTCCACACACTTGTCCTTCTTTACATATCTCCCTTTTCTAACCAAATAACAGCTATCCTTCACACTATTCAAGTTTTGAGTGTTTTCATGAGCACTTCTATTTAAATGCCATTCCATTACTTACCTCTTTCTCTAGTCATAGAAAATCCTTTTAATTTTATTCACAAAACATTCCCTCTTTCCTTCTCAAAATTTCTACCTAAAATGGAGTTATATCTTGTTCCAGTGCAGCATCACTTAGTTGAAGCAACAAGCCATTTAAGATCTCTAGGGAAAAGAAGGGTCAACAAATTGGAAAGAAAATAGGCATCTCAGGGATCTGATATGGTGAAGCTAAACATAGAAGAGGTCAATATTCTCGACTAGTCATCAATAAAGAGTTCTGAAACAGATTCTTGGGAGAGAGAAAGTGTGTCAATAGCCATTGGTTTAGCAATGAAGACAGTTTTTACACTCTTTTCTTTGTAACTGTTTTTTGCTTATCCTGAACTGGAGAATAGAATAAAAAGGCTTACAACCCTGAAATAGACTATACTATTCACTTCTTTCTTAATATGACCTATCCCATTCTGTCAGAAAAAAAAAGATACTAAGTTCATTGGCATGTGTGGCCTTTGAGATATTATGTTGGTGTTTTCCAGGATTTTATGCCCTTCTAGGTGTTACTAATTGATTGTTTAATTCATTATTGCCAGGTTAAACTAAGCTGTCTAATTGCCAAATCGCGTTCCTCTAATTTTAAAGATGGGGATGTTTTCCCTTTTCCAATCTCCAGGGATAGTTTCCCACCATTTTAAGATAATAAAAAGAGAGGGACATAATTTAAAAGACTGGGAGGAAAGAGGACAAGATGACTTCTTTTTCTTTTGCACCAGTCACATTATTATAACTTATTCTATTCCAATAGTCATAAACATTTGACTAATATCTTAATTAATTTTTCAGACTTCTTAAAGTATAAATTTAGTATCTCTCCCAAGAAAAAACTTGATTTCTCTTCAATAAGAGTGAGTGAGATCATATCGATGCTTGATGAGGATGTTCTGCTTACAGGCTACTTTAGTCTTCCTCAGCCATTACCGCACGTGGCTTCTCCATCAAGGAGTTAGCACAAGGTAAGACCTACTGCACTGCTTTGTCACCTCTTATTTGGCACTCTGCCTAGATGGCAATTTTGTAAGATTTTGAATTCTCACTCTAGGAGAATGTTACATGATAGTTGTTATTGAAACAAATTGGAAGTCAAAATTAATGTAATTGGATTTGAAGGATTTGTTTCCCAGTAATAACTGAGCAATCTTCCTGTTCTGTTTTTGTTGGCTTACCTCAGTAACTTTCAATAGATTTCAAACTTGACATTGTGGCTTATCACATTGCCCCTCTCCAACCCTATAAAATGTATGGCAAGTCCTCTTTAGCTGTAAGTATAAACTCAGACCACTTTATCAATATCCTTTTTGTGACTACTAGGATATCTGTAAACAGGAAGATTGTATTTTAATGAAGGGAGAGGAGAAAGGAAAGAACCCTTTGAACTCCAGTTCAGCACATTGGCATAAATATTTTAAGATCATTTATTCAAGTAGTAGCTCATGGATTAGTATTAAACTTCTTGGGCTTCTTTGTGATCCACAGAGCTTTCAACTTTCCGTGGTCAAGTGCTACATTTAATGCATGGCAATAATAAACTATGCAAAATAAAAAGGAATTTCATGCTTGGGAGGAAAAGAATTTTATGTAATTTTATCCTTACATAAAGAACTGACCATTAAAGTAATCTAAAATGAAAGGAGGTTTTTTTTTTTCCCTGTCTTCATTTTGGAAAATTGACATAAAAACCTTAAGATTTCCCATATAGCATTTTAAAACTTTTTTCAGCTGCTCTATTGCTGCATGATAATCTTTTATTTCTAAAGAATTAGATGTTTCTCTCTCTAAAAGGGAAGGCAAAGCAAGGGTTGAATAATCTTTTACCTATAAAATATGCATATTGATGAAAAAAGTGTATACATTTGAAAAATGGAACGTATTTTTATGCTCCTATTTATCTGTTACTATGGCAACCACCACACTGCCTAGTATTTATGTTGTCTAAGATTCAGGGCACCTTTTCAAAAAAAATAAATATGCCAGAACCATGTATTGTATTTATTTTGAAGCTAAGAAAAATGTTTATTCTAATGCATATTTTTGAAGAAAAATAGCAATAAATAATCTAAACTTCAACGTGGTTTAAATGGTATCTTTTCCAGTGTATGTTTTTAAAATCAAAATAATTACTTTTTTTCCCATGTTATAAAAATCAGAATAAAGAATAGAAATAATGAATTTTTAAAAAAGATTTTATTTATTTATTTGACAGAGAGAGAGAGAGCCAGAGAGCAGAAGCAGGGGGAATGGCAGAGAGGGAGGGGGAAGCAGGCTCCCTGTGGAGCAGAGAGCCAGATGCAGGACTCCATGTGGGAGGGCTCCCTCCCAGGCCCCTGGGATCATGACCTGAGCCAAAGGTAGATGTTTAACTGACTGAGCCACCAAGGCATGCCTAGAAAAAATGAATTTTTAAAACCCATGAGACAGTCTTAAAAGGTAGTATCTTGACTTTTCTTATTTTTATGACTTAATATTTTGATTCATAACAAATTTCTGAAAATATAAAATAAGAACACTTAGATATTTAATGTTAGCTACATAAATCAGAAAATATAAATGGTTTGCATTTCTGATTGCAGATGGTTCTTTGATATCTATGAATAAAAGATTTATATTTTGCATGTGAAATGAAAGGCATCGTTATTATTTTTCTTAGTTTATTTAAATTATTTTCTGACATGTGTGATACATAAATATAATTTCTTAATGTTAAACATCAGAGTGGAAGTTATGAAGCATAAAATCAGACATGTTTCATGTCACGTATTACCTGTTAAGAAAAACTGCAATACAACATTTAAGTACAACAGAATAGTGAGCATATTGTCTCTGATACTTGTAAACAGGATGGATCTGCAGTTTCACAGTTTATGTTGACAGTATCTTTGTGGGAAATGTAATTATTAAATGAATTATAACATGTCCTAGTATTAAGATTATTAATAATAATTTTAATTGCCTTTTTCAAGATAATTGGATATGCTCTCATAAGTGTATAGGAAAGGAGGTATTGGGCTAATTAGATATTTTGAACTCAGTTATCTTTAGAATATCTAGAAGTTTAACATATATATGCTATATTTTAGGAATTTCTTCTTTTAAGTGAATGGTTTCTAAGTAGAATTAAAATAATTTATAGTCCATAAAAATCTCTCTGATTATCCCTTAATATTCCTCCTTGAGTATTAATCTGATAAAAAATTTAAAAATTAAATTTTCACTACTGGTAGAAAATAACTCTACAAGTGGTCAGATTAAGAGATAGTATTTTATTCTAGTAATGGGTACTACTACTATATGGGTGTTTGTATGCTATGTTTTGGTAGCTTTAGAAATTGTTACATTTCTAAAAAAAAATCCAATCTGGAAATACACTTTGATCTAGGAATTTAGCTCCTAAAACTTCTTTCAGTTTAGAAGCTTTTCTGTTATATGGTCAAAGGTGCATGGGAACCACAGCTTTATTTACAATAGGAAATATTTGGAGCAACCAGCTAGGATATTTAAAAAAATAAAAATAAAAAATTATGTTCTCAAGAAGTATTTATAACATAAAATATTCTCATTCAGTGAAAATACAACTGTACATAAACTATATTTAATATGGTCACAATTTTGTTTAAGGAAAAGGATATAGGGGCGCCTGGGGGCTTCGTTGGTTAAACGTCTGCCATTGACTCAGGTCATGATCCCAGGGTTCAGGGACTGAGCCCTGCATGGGGTTCACAGCTCCCTCGGGGAGACTGCTTCTCCTTCTTCCTCTTCTTTTCCCCTCCCTCCCTCTTCTCCCTCTTCCTCTACCTGCAGGTCCCCCTGCTTGTGTGTTCTCTCTCTCTCTCTCTCTCTGTCAAATAAATAAATAAAATCTTTAAAAAATAAAAAAAAACAAGAAAAGACTGTATCTCAGTGTGCCTAAGTGGCTTAGTTGGTTAAGCGTCCAGCTCGTGGTTTCCACTCAGGTCATGATCTCATGGGTCACAAGATCAAGTCCTGTGTTGGGCTTCACGCTCAGCAGGGAGTCTGCTTGAAGATTCTCTCCCTCTGCCCCTTCCCATGATTGTGCTCACTCACATGCTCTCTCTCTTTCTCAAGTAAATATATAATCTTAAAAGACTTTAAAAATCTTTTTAAAAATCTTTAAAAAAAAAAAAAAAAGAGAAACGGTTGTATCTCTGGAAAATCAAAGATGAAAGCCTGAAAGCAAATATTCAAAAATTATAATAGTGACTAGCTCCAAGGATAAGAGATTATAAGAGGCTTTTCTTTTTTTAGATTTTTTCTTCTAATCTTAATATGGTTATTTCTGTAGTAACTCTATCATCATTCAAATTGTTTTTAATAGGATGTTTATAATAGGATGTTTATAATTGTTTTTAATAAGATGTTTTTAATAGGATGTTTAGTGTTTATATTCATTAATGAAAATTTAGCTAATGGAGAAATAATGTTATCTTGTTCAACATTGAATTCATTGTCTATTTTAGAGTCTGGGAATAGTTGGTACTTAATAAATATCTGATAGTTTGAATGGAATAATGATGAGATCAGGAATTAGCAAAGTGGTTTTAGGGAAAACACATTTGGAAGACCACAAAGATGCCTTCTTTATGTTTAAGTAAACTTGATTTGTTTGTCATAACAATGGGTGACGGGATAATAAAGTGATAAGAATATGCAAGAACTGTTGCACTACCCATAATTCTGGTAGCATAGAACAAGCCAGGTGTCCCAGAAGTTTTTAATTTTAATGAAGTAGTCTATTCTATTATTTCTTTCATGGATTGTGCCTTTGGTGCTATAGCTAAAAAGTCATTGTCATATCCAAAGTCATCTATGTTTTGCACTATTTCATTTTCTAGGAATTTTATAGTTTGTTTTAAATTTAGCTTGATTCATTTTGAGCTCATTTTTGTGACGGATATGAGGTGTGAGTTTAGATACTTTTTTTTTTTTTCAAGTACATGTACAGTTGCTCTAGTACTACTGGTTAAAAAGTTTATGCCATTGTATTGACTTTGCTCCTTTGTCGAAGATAAAGGTGGGTCTATTCCTATGTGAATCTATTTCAGGGCCTTTTAGGTATGTCTCATACAGATCTTGTTCATATTTCATTAGATTTATGCTTCTATTGAAGCATATTCATTTTTTAGTATTAATATAAGTAGTAATTTTTTTTTAAGATTTTATTTATTTGACAGACAGAGATCACAAGTGGGCAGAGAAGCAGGCAGAGAGGGAGGAGGAACCAGGCTCCCTGCTGAGCAGAGAGCCTGATGTGGGGCTCGATCCGAGGACCCTGGGAACATGACCTGAGCCCAAGGCAGAGGCTTTAACCCACTGAGCCACCCAGGCGCCCCAGGAGTAATGTTTTTTAAATTCAAGTGTAATTAATATATGTTAGATTAGCTTCAGGTTTACATTATAATGATTTAACAATTGTATGTATTTCTCAGTACTCGTCAAGTTAATTCTACTCTTACTCCCCTCTATTTCTTTCACCCATACTTCCACCTACCTCCCTCTGGCAACCCCCAGTTTATTCTCTGTATTTAAGAGTCCGTATTTTTGTTTGTCTCTTTTTTCTTTGTTCATTTATTTTGTTTCATTCTTTTTTTTTTTTTTTTAAGTAGTCTCTATATTCAACATGGGGCTTGAGCTCATGACTCCGAGATCAAGAGTAACATGCCCCACCAACTGAGCCAGCCAGGCCTCCCTGTTTTGTTTCTTAAAATCCATATATGAGTGAAATTATATGTTCTTCCTTCTCTGGCTGACTTATTTCACTTAGCATTTTATCCTCTAGGTCTATCCATGTTGTTGCAAATGGCAAGGTTTCATTCATTTTTATGGTTAAATAATGTTCCTTTATATAAATTTATATAAATAAAGTAATATCCATTCCATATTTTTAATCCATTAATCAATGGATAGATTTTTATCCATTCATCTATAGATGGACACTTGGGTTATTTTCATACCTTGGCTATTGCAAATAATGCTGTAATGAACATAGGGCTTCATTTTTTTTCAAAAATTGGTGGTTTTTTTTGGGTAAATACCCAGTAGTGGATTAGTAGATATGAAGCCTTTTAAGATGATGGTAATTCCATACTTCTTGTTTTCTTGTCTTATATTGTTTTCTTGTCATATATATATATATATTTCTTGTCATATATGCATGCTTTCCTTTCTTCCTTGTATGTCCAGCCCACTAGAAGGGACCATATAATGTGAGTTTGAATATTCAATTCTGCTATACAAGGTAAGAAACTAAATGGGATGATGACACTCCTAAGCAATGTTGAGCATCTGGGTGGCTCATTTGGTTAATCATCTGCCTTCAGCTCAGGTCATGATCCCAGGGTCCTGGGATCAAGCCCTGCATCAGGCTCTCTACTCAGCGGGGAGTCGTCTTCTCTTCTCCCTCTGCCCCTCCCCCCTCTAGTGTGCTCTCTCTCTCTCTCTCAAATAAGTAAATAAAATCTTTTTTTTTTTTAAGATTTTATTTATTTATTTGACAGAGACCACAAGTAGGGAGAGGCAGGCAGAGAGGCAGGCAGAGAGAGAGAGAAAGAAGCAGGCTTCCCACTGAGCAGAGAGCCGGATGCGGGGCTCGATCCCAGAACCCTGGGATCATGACCTGAGCTGAAGGCAGAGGCTTTAACCCACTGAGCCACCCAGGCGCCCCAGTAAATAAAATTTTTAAGAAAAATACTTTGGTTTGTATTTCTAATAGATAATATTTTTTAAACTACAAGCACGAAATGCTTATTTTGTCATTATTTTTTTAAGGTTTTTAAAATTTATTTATTTACTTATTTATTTATTTAGAGAGAGGGTGAGAGAGCACAAGCAGAGCCTGACATGAGCTCAATCCCACAACCCTGAGATCACAACCCCAGCCGTAATCAAGAGTCAGATGTCGAACCAATGGAACCATACAGGTGCCCCCATTTGTCATAATACCATTACCCCTAATATCCAAAACTGAGTGTTGTAACCAGTAACAAATAGCTTAATGAAGACAAATGTGCCCAATAAATTTTTAACAAATAATATAACAACAACACCATTTATTCATATCCAATAAAATAATTTCCTTAGTATCTGGAATACCCAGTTTGTGTTCCATGTCAATAATTTTCTCAAAAGGGGCGCCTGGGTGGCTCAACGGGTTAAGGCCTCTGCCTTCGGCTCGGGTCATGATCCCAGGGTTCTGGGATCGAGCCCCGCATCCGGCTCTCTGCTCAGTGGGAAGCCTGCTTCTTTCTCTCTCTCTCTGCCTGCCTCTCTGCCTACTTGTGGTCTCTGTCTGTCAAATAAATAAATAAAATCTTTAAAAATAATAATAATAATTTTCTCAAAAAAATTGTCTTATTAAAGTTAGTTTACTCAAATCAGGATCTAAACAAGTTTTACAAATTGTGTTTGGTTGATATAATTCTTAGTCTCTTTCCACTTGTAACATTTCTCCATCTTTATTTTCAGTGTCATGTCATTTAACATGTTTTTCTACCTTCCCCATTTCTCACAAATTAGAAGTTAGATCTAGAGATTTGGGTACATTTTTGGGTTGGTGGTGACATGACACTTATGCATGTGCATGCACACATCTTTTTTCTCATAGTTTTGTTTTACAGTACAGTTGTTTCTCTCTCTTTTTTAAGATTTTATTTATTTGAGAGAGAGAAAGAGAGTGTGTGCATGCTCACGAGCAATGTGAGGAGCAGGAGGAGAAGCCAACTCCTCACTGAGATGCAGGACTCAGTCCCAGGACCCCAGGATCATGACCTGAGCTGACACAACTAACTGAGCCATCCAGGTGCTCCTCTCCTCAAATTCCCATTGCATTTCTTCTACAGAATGTTTATCTTTTATGCTTGAAAGTCTTTTCTAAGCTTTCTTGTTTACAACTATCCACACTTACTTGCCGCTTGGGAAAGCCCCATGTTCTGTTTTGTTATTGATAGTTATTACCCTAACTTGAAGACCATCAAACCTTTCCTCTTCTTTTAGCTGACACATGTTACCTACGATGTGGGAGCACATCAACTTTATGGAGTGGCCACTATTCTTAATCCTTTCTTACAAATAAAGAAACTGATGCAGAAAAGTGTTATGTGATGTGTCCAAAGTGTCACAGTTACCTTTAAGTGGGCAGTAGAGCTTTAAACCCAGACACTCTGGCTCCAGAGTCCAGGCCTATAACCACTGTGTGTTTGAATGCCTTTAAAAAAAAAAAAAAAAAAAAAGGGTAGAAGAGCAGGTCTAAGGGTGGGCATGAGTGAGAGCTTATATTCATGTAAAATGATTAAGAAATGGAAAGTTAAAAAAAAATAGTGGTTTTTCAGTGTATCAGTAAATAAACTATGCATGTGTTAATAAAATATAAGGCAGTATCTTTACCTGTAGTTGGTAAAATACCATAGTAGTGTCAGTCAAATTTATATTAACACATTTTTATTTATTTAATTTCTAATTAACAATTAGTTTTTTTTTAAGATTTTATTTATTCATTTGATAGTGAGACAGAGATCACAAGTAGGCAGAGAGGCAGGGAGAGGAAGGGAAGCAGGCTCCCCGCTGAGCAGAGAGCCCAATGTGGGGCTCGATCCCAGGACTCTGGGATCATGACCTGAGCCAAAGACAGAGGCTTTAACCCACTGAGCCACCCAGGTGCCCAATAGTTTACAGTTTTGTTTTTTTTTTTAAGATTTTATTTATTCATTTGACAGCGAGACAGAGATCACAAGTAGGCAGAGAGGCAGAGAGAGAGAGGAGGAAGCAGGCTCCCCGCTGAGCAGAGAGCCCGATGTGGGGCTCGATCCCAGGACCCTGGGATCATGACCTGAGCTGAAGGCAGAGGCTTTAACCCACTGAGCCACCCAGGCGCCCCTAACAATTAGTTTCATTTAATTAATAATGTATATGAACGTTGTCTGAAAACTTACTATATTCTGCATATTCTACTTAACCTGTTAGATGCTCTACTTTTAGTGAGGATAGTACTGTTGATATAGTAACATTATGGAAGAAATATTGCATTTAATAATGGTAATGATTTCACACATATATAATTCATTCTACCAGAAAGCATCCTGAAACTATTTTACATGGAAAATAAAACTATACCATCACTAAAATGATTGCCTTTTTTAGTGAAGATTAGGACTGTAATCATGCATAAGTGAAAAGTAAAACTATTTCTCTATTTAAGAGTTATTTTTTGGGGCGCCTGGGTGCTGATAAACGTATTTAAAATTGCATTCCCAGGGTGCCTGGGTGGCTCAGTCAGTTAAGCATCAGACTCTTGGTTTCAGCTCAGGTCATGATCTCAGGATTGGAGGATCGAGCCTGGCATTTGCTTGTCCCCCTCCCCTCTGTTCTTCTCTCTCTCTCTCTCTCAAATAAATAAATAAATAAATAAATAAAATCTTAAAAAACAAAAAAAGTAAATCTCTACACTCAACATGAAGCTCAAACTCACAACCTGGAGATCAAGAATGGAATGCTGTACCGACTGAGCCAGCTAGGTGTCCCAGGATTATACCATTCAAAGACTTAGATTCATACTTCTGTTTTCCTTTAGGCTTTTATCTCTGGTGTTTTGTTTTGTTTTGTTTTTATCATGAGATCTCACATTTAGCAACTGCTGTGTAGTTTAGACCATGATGAGAAATAAATTGTGATTAATGTCCAGCCTCAATTTATAACTCTGGAAGGTTTTATCTGTTTGTTTGTTTGTTTTTTTAAGATTTTATTTATTCATTTGACAGAGACAGATCACAAGTAGGCAGAGAAGCAGGCAGAGAGAGAGGGGGAAGGAGGCTCCCTGCTGAGCAGAGAGCCCAATGCAGGACTCCATCCCAGGACCCTGGGATCATGACCCGAGCTGAAGGCAGAGGCTTTAACCCACTGGGCCACCCAGGCACCCCGGAAGGTTTTATCTTTTAAATTAAATATTATTCTACCTCATTTTTAGCTGAAAATGGCAAAAAGAGAAGCAGATGATCACAGAGCATCACTTGCTCAGTCTTCTTTATCACCTCTGACTAAAGCCATGAAGGTATCACAGCAGAGCAATGCTGAAGACACCTTCAATGGAGATACCATTCACCCAATTTCCAAATGTATTTCAAAAGATTTACCAAGGTAAGAATATTATTTCAGCAGCTTAAACTGAATCCTGAAGGAGATAAAGTACTTACAAAAATTTGTCTATGTAAATGCTCAATATTTTGTAGAGACGATGTCAATAATAACTTAGAGATATGATGGGCTATGAAGGTTGTTGCCTGGATTGGAGCCCTCCAATTTCCTTTATTCTATGGGAAGAAAAAAGATAGATGACGCAAGAAACAGAAATTATCCCTGGAGTTTGACTTGGACAGTAGCATAATGATAAAAACGATAATGAGGCAGATAATATTTGCTCTGTGTCAGTCACCATACTAAACACTTAACCTGCATTGTACCTATTTAGTTCTCTAAACAACCTTGGGAGGAATATAAGGCAGGTAGTATTTGAATATTTCCATTTTGCCAGTGAAGAAACAAAGACCTAGATAGGTTGATTAGCTGGACCAAGATCACAGAGCTTATAGGTAGAGAACGTATGGTTTGAACCCATGAAGATCTAACTCCACAGCAAGAACTTTTAACTATGTATTCTACCACACTTCTCAGAAATGCAAAGCAGAGGAAACAGAGATATTTTTCCTGGGTTTTTTTCTCCATTAGAAAGCGAAAGAATGAAAAAGTATCTGCCAAGTGTATGCATGTTTGAAGATTTATTTATTTATTTGAGAGAGAGAGAGAGATCACACTGGGAAGGAGTGAGGGATGGGGAGGGCCAGAGGGTGAGGGAAAGAATCCCAAGCAGGCTCCATACCTAGCACAGAGCTGAGGCAGGGCTCAATCTTACAACCCTAAGATCATGACCTGAACGGACACTAAGAATTGAACGCTTAACCAATTGTGATGCCACCTGGGTGCCCCTATCAGGTGTTGATAAACTATCGTCTGGCCAAATGTGGTGTCATACTCTTAACGTTAAATAGAAAACATATACTATAAGAGCACTGAAGAAAATATTAATATATTAAGAATTATGTTAATCTCTTATGAAAATGCCATGTTACATTTATATCTTAAAACTGGTTTTTTGTGTGTTGGTAAATTTAGGTGAAAGTGAAATCTAGACTTTTAGCTAATTTTTGTTTTGCTTTATTCCCCTTACCTCTGAGTCCATATTAGCAGTGTCTGAGGTTCTTTACATGGTGTACTAGCTATATGCATAGATAATTTTTTAGAGCATCATTACCTAATATAGTTATACTGTAGAGATGTAAATTATTCATGAGAGTAGTCTTTCCAATAAGACAATGGATAACAATTTCTAAATCAGACCTTTAGTTATTTCTTTCTACAAATGTCATTGCTAACATAATGTGTATTTACACATTTCTATTCCCTTTAGAATTTATTTTTACCAATTTTCCTCTTTAAAATAGTACTACATTTACTTCTTTTTTTTTTTTTTTTAAGATTTTATTTATTTATTTGACTGAGAAAGAAACAGTGAGAAAGGGAACACAAGCAGGGTGAGTAGAAGGGGAAGCAGCAGGCTTCCCGCAGAGTAGGGAGCCCGATGTGGGGCTCCACCCCAAGACCCTGGCTTCATGACCCAAGCTGAAGGTAGGTGCCCAACAACTGAGCCACCCAGGTGCCCCTACATTTACTTTTTATTCCAGCTATCTTTTGTGTATTTTTAGATTCTTTATTTTTTTGTTAGAGTTAACTGTAATTTCATTTATACAGTTTTTTCTGCTTTTTCTCATTTTCTTTCTTTGATTCTGATTCTTTTTAAGTCTGGCTTTATTTGTCCTTTTTTTTAAATGTCAGTCTTTCTTTTCATGTGATACTTTCCTACTACCTGTTTTTTTTTTTTAATAGTTTATTTCAGTGTACTACTCATATTTCTTTGTTTGAATCCTGACTTCTTTTTTGCCACTATTACCTATTACCATCAACTTTGATTATGATGTACCTAGAAAATAAAGTAAACGTTTTCTTCGTAATCTAATGGAAAGTCAAAGACAATGCCCAGAGATCTTTTACTTTCATGAAAAAGAAAATGATGAGTTTCAACCTGAAAGAGGTCAAGTTCATAAAGGCTCAGGGTAATAATCTAAGATCCTTTGGCATTAATATGATTATCAGAGAGAGAGAGGCAATTTTCTCTGTGAGTTAAGACATTTTCCCCCTGATTGAGGTTAAAACTTTTCTTGTCTCATTCTTGTTTTCCTTGCCGCATTTCTTCCAACATCTTTGTGATTTATGAGAAATAATTATTAAAATATAGTCAATTTGTTGTTCCTTTACTTATATCACAAGAGATTATGTTTCTTTTCACTAAACATACTGTACATTGTACAAAATATGCCCACATGTATTAAATCTATTCATTGCAAGCCATACAGTGACTGGTCACTTTATTCTCATGTTATTACCTGATGCTATTAATTTATTCTATCCTGAATTCACATTATCTACTCTTCTCCTCTCTCTTGTGTTCTTGCGATGTTTTTCCTTTGTCACTCTATTGTATTTTTTTGTAATAGAGTGAAAACTGCTGTGCCAGGATCCTTTCCCCAGCAAGAAAACTAATCACCAACAGTGTAAATGAGTTCAACATATTGTGCCAAAGAAGGTTTGATCCTCCCATTTTATGATTTACCACTAGGATGTCAGATGTTTGGAATTAGTAGCCTAATTCCTATGGCTACTTCCAGGAAAGCAGCACAATAAGAAACTTTTCCTACCTAGCTGTAGTCTGAGGTATTCCCAAGTGACCTGGAGCAGGACACCAGCCTTGGAGACATGGACGGCAGAATTATTTATTTATTTATTGATAACAGGTATCTATGGACAGTTCTGTCATATTTATAGAAAATATTTCTGAATCTGAGTAGAATATTTCTAAACTACAATTGCATTTTAAAATTAAGAGAATGTTGTAAAAAATTAGTATCGCTCTCTATCCCACACATAAAATATTTTAATTACTTTTAGCTGATGATCATCTAAGGATATAATTTCATGATTTTTATAATAGAAAGTTAAGTATTTTTTAATCCTGCTTGCAGTTGAGTGTGTTGCCAACTCTTTTAGTTCCCTGTGGGAGAAATTATTTTTAGTACATTAGATAAGTACTGAAATCAGTTTTAAAATGGAATCATCAAGTTGCTAGTAAAAATCTGACATATATGTGTTATAAAATAACTGGAATTGCTCTGCAATTGGGATACTCTTACCTAAATTTCTAGGCCAAGCTAGAAATATAATTTCTTCTGCTGTTGGAAATAAAATTTGGGGGGAACGGTTCACTTTTATTATTATAACTTCTATTATTTACTTTCTATGATGTTTAAATCACATTTTATCTAGTAATTGTAAAAAGTTATTTATATCTTTAGGTTATTCATTTCATCAAGTAGGAAAAAGGTTATGATGAAATTTAATGAAATTTTTGTGCTTTGTGTACTCCAGGGATTTTATAGCGGGTTACAGTCACCAAACATATGTGGGGTTATTTCTTTTATCAGTTGCGTTTCAGTATTTTAAGCTGGAGATTTATTATTGAATGTGCTTAGGGTCATTTTCCCTTATGTTTACATTTTTTATTTGTATTTATTCCAATTAGGGAGTTTAATTACCATTAAAATGGGAATAGGATAAAGATAAATTTTACAAATGACAATATTAAAAAAAATAACTCTTCATGAAGGTTTATATGCTGCAAGAATATAAAGTGAGAAAGATATGCTTGTCAAATATACAGTATAAATAAATAATTTAGATGAAAATGGTTGACTACATTTAACAAAGAGACTACCAAGTAATGAGAGGCTAAAGAGTGGTTGTTAGATTTGATATACTTCATTGTATATTGTACGTAATCGCTATCCATAAAAAATCTATGGCTTCTGTATAAGAAAAAGAGACATTTTAACAGCCAACACTGGTATGAAGCGACAGCAAGTATAAATCCTTGGCAACTGTCATTATCCTGCTATTGAATTCGTATCTAAACTGTGTGATGACTTAGACCTGCATGTTTGTTATTTAGCCGTGATCTGTCAAAGTAGCCAGACTTCCTACTTATGAATAGAGTTATTAGCCACATGGAGATTTCTCCCATAGAAATCCAAATTAACCAAGGATGCTTTGTTTTCAAAGAGCAGGGAAATAAAAACTCTGTGTCATTTTATGCTTATCCTGAAGTTTCTGGCAAAATGTTCCTGATTAAGTAGAAGTAAAATGTTTAGAAAATACCATATTAGTTTATGCTTTAGTCCATTATAAAATTAGTAAAGATTTTGAATAAAACAAAAAGTGAAGCAAGTGTGATTCAAGAAGCGATTGTATGTTAGGCTACTATTAGCACAAAGTAACAGAAGATTCAACTGAAAGCGACTTTAAAAACAAGGAAAATGAGGAAGAAGTCATTATCTTACATAATAAGAACCTCAGATGCAAGGCACTTCTAGAATTAAATTCATTGGTGTTTTCAAGGAGCCTGGCTCTTTGGATCTTTCCCTCTGCCATCCTCAGAATATTGGCTAGATCTTTGGGTATAACTCCTCCTACTTGTAAGATGACTTATTACATGTTCACTCAACAGTGTCCAACTAAAGAAAATGGATATTTGATCATGTATCTCTCTCTCTCTTTTCTTACGATTTTTTACAGTAATCACTATATCCAATATAGGGCTTGAACTCACTACCTCCACATCAAGATTCCCATGCCCTACAGACTGAGCCAGTCAGGCATTCCTATATTTCTTTTTATTAGGCCAAAAAACCTTTCCCCAGATGACTTTGCCTTAAGTCTCATTGGCCAAAATTGAATCACAAGCTGATTGCTTAACCTGCAAGGGACAAGGGAAATATAATTATCATCATGGTGTTAGACACTGAGGATTTACCCACTGGAGCTGATCAGGGGATACCTACCATGAGCATATAAAGTGGATGAATCCTCAAGTATAACTGAGGCTTTTCTTTTCAGGAAAAATCAGTGGAATAACTGTTGAATAAATAATATTGACATAACTTGACATAACTCTTGGCTTTGGCTTTATTATA